ATTATACTGCACTATATAATATTTATAGTAAATACTGCAACTTCTAAATAAAATTGTAGTTTTTAAATTCAACATTCATACAGAATGTTAGTTATCACAAGACGATTTTGAGGTGTACACAGGCACTACAGGAGGTAAATATAGTGCATTATTTTGTTTTTTTGATTTCTTTCCAGTTTAAACAATGTGAAAATATGTGAAATTTAATGTGACAAAAGCATATAGTGAAATGAAAGCAACTCAGTACTTATTATAATAGGAAACATGCGTTGCTGGTTAATAATGCATGGCAGGATTAGCTTTCACCTTGTCCCTGGAGGCTATGGGAACGATGAACTGAAAACTGTACAGACCAATGCACAGTAACAACTGTCACAGAGCACGCTAATATGACCATGAGGAACATTACTCTATTATTACAACACGCTTTGCAGTTCATTATTACAATTATGAAATTTAGTCAACAATCTTTTCAAATATTTCGGTCAGTGAAGAAATTGAAAAAAGAATCGTGAGCAGTCAGGAGAAAACAAGGAGAAAGCTAAGTTTACAACTTCATTAAGTCTCAACACACATCTTTCATTTAGTATTATAGTTGCACGGTTCAAATCAAATGTTGACATATGTCCTCCAGTGAGCATCAACCTTTTGACGTTCCTCATCTTTCACATAGATTCTGTTAATGAATTTATTGTATAAATAGAAATTTAGCAACATTTAAATGGTTATAGATATTCTCTAGTACCAAATAGCAGCAATTAATATTCTTGTTTTTAGGATCTAAATTAGCTCACACATGATACAGTGAAGTACATTTTGAATAAGCTTACAGAATCAGAAAATCAGAGGAAGAGGCCATTGAGCCCATCTAACTTCGAAAACAGTCTTTGTTAAATATCACAGATTTCAATAAATATCTGATTTGCAATTTATTTCAAAACTGGATTTGTAGCCTGTGGTTTTGATATAAATTTCAAATTTACATTAATTTGTTCCAGCAGGGCTTCTCTGCCCATTTGAGCTTTGGCTTTTACAGGGTTGAAAAGAGATCTATTTGCCTTATTAAGTTTGCCTTAGACAATTGGCCGCCACAATTATGCAGTCAATTCACTTTACAGTATTTTCTGTGAAGCGCTTTGAGATATCTAGAAGACTTGAAAAGCGCTATATCATATGCAAGGATTATTATATTATTATTTATTATCTCTTTACAATGCATTTCATTGCTTTCCTTCCCCTCAACATTCCCTCCTCTTCTTTCAGTATTTAATTTCCAAAGTATTCTATTCCAAAACAGAGAATGAGTGCCTAATCTACTCCAACGCAGGCTCCCAACATAAATACTGGTCCACTATTTGCCTGGCAGAACAACATTTCACTATATAAAATCAGGCTGTAGTGTTTACTGCACCACAACTAGCCACCACCAAACCAAACAATGCCAAGAACCATCAAACTTTACAACATGTGTGATTAGTAGTGGGAGTGACGTCCTGTCAGCTACTAAAGAGAATCCTGCCCAAAATTTCACACCAGTGAAGTGATTTAATTGCTCCACCAGCCCCCTGTTTTAATACATTCTTTTACTCCACTAATCTGAAATGATCCAACGTGGTTGAAGTCTGACTCAGAGTGCCAAGCACCCGACACTGTAGGGAAAATACACACAATAGTCATTCCATTGGGTTCTGAAAAGCAGGTGACACATCATGCCATCTCTTCTCCTCCAAATATTATGCAAAACAAATGATATAATTACCAAAGCTAATTATATTTCCATATTCAGGTATCTCGTAATCTAAGTGATTTAACTCTAAGCACAGCAACCGGATAATAAGAGCTTTGAGTTTTTGATATTCACAAGGCATTGCTGAAATGTCGTAACAAGACAACAACAAGATTCAATTTATAGAGCGCCTTTCACGTCGGGAAGACGTCCCAAGGCGCTGTACAGTTGGGTCAGGACCCGAGCATTGGGGGGGAAATGGTGAGGGGAGGGAAGGGAGGGAGCGAGGAGGGGGTAGAGAGTCGAGAGCGGAGCTGAAGGCTCGGTCAAAGAGAAAGGTCTTGAGACCGGCCTTGAAGGAGGAAAGGGAGGAGGCAAGGCAAAGGCACTGGGGATAGAGTTCCAGAGCCTCGGGGCTGAGAGGCTGTAAGCGCCATTCCTACACCTATCCAGAGAGATCTTGGTTAGCTGCCTTGGATTTGAAATGATCAAGCTGAGTTTTCTGTGATCTAACATAAATTAGGTAAGATATGGTTCTCATTCTGAAATACACTTTCAAACTCAGCTAGAAGTCACATGTCACCTTAGAAAATCCAGGCAAATGTTTCATCTTTTGAAAACGGAAGGCTTTTCATCCTCCACTTAAGGTACTACAGCTACCATTACACTGCTTGTCAGCACCTTAACACTGAACACATCTCAGTATGCGTGTATTTTTAAGGTTGATATATTAACCTTGAAATTAACTTGACTGTGATGTTCTACTTTAATTTAGTATTGTGGCAGCTGACAAGCATCACTAACACCCTTCACTATACCCATCTCTGATTAAAATAGAATCCCACAATACTGCTGGACTGTTTGGTTGAACAAACAAAAATTCCAGTATAATTAAAACAATATCTGAAAAGAACTTTAAAAAATATAGCTTCATATGATACTATCATTTCCTCAACCTTCCCTCACCTCTGCCAATGCTGCTATGAGATATGACAAACGCTGAAAGGTGCACATCAATCTGAGCTCCAACTTTCCTTTAGAGTGGAAAGTTGGATCTCCCTCCCTCCCTAGGCATGTAGGCAAGATAAGCACTCACTCCTATTCCTGCACTTCTGGCAGTGATCAGAGTTATCAGAAAAGGAGAAATCAAACAGAACATGTCATTAAGAGGCAGGAAATACCCTTCTACTATCTGTATCCCTAAGGCTAGAATATTTAAGGGAGTGGTGATGGACTGACAACTTTATGAACGACTGTATTATGCCAGGCTTCTTTCAGCATATTGAAACATTTCAATCCCACTAAAAAATGGCTGCCTTAAGAAGTCAATTGGTTAACTTCAAATCCTGGAAAAGAATTCTGTGATCTCTAATGATCCAAATCCTTAAAGATCAGGATATTCCGATCAGTAAGAGAAGATCTACAAGCAATACCACATCACTGGGAATAGTGCTTTCAATGGTATACATCATAATATGTAGGCAAACAAACAGTCCATCAACATTGTATAGGATTCACTACCTGGTTTTAAAAAAAGCATTTCAATATAACAATGTATTTAATACTGCAGTAGCTTTAGTAAATTCAATGACACTACTGCATGTAAATTTGTTAAAAATGCGCTGAAGCAACTTTTCAGATTGAGCGACTGCCTCAGTGATCTATACTGGAATCCCTTCTTCTCATCTTATGTTAGCTTGTATCTTTAAACGCGCTCAAGCCTATATACTGTAATTAACAACTGTACAATTAATTGGCAATTAAAAGTATTTACAATTATGATGGCAGTCTAGCTGACTTGCCTCTGAATCAGAAGGTTGCGGGTTCAATATATCCCAATGTACAATTATATTTCGTACAGTTCCCGATGGATGGGCACCCGAGCTGGGGTGGGAGACGAAGGGGTGGGGAGGGGAAAGGTGACCAAAAGAGCAGTCAGAGGCACATTTTGAGTCGTGCCTTCCTGCCCGTGTTGAACTTGACACTGTTAAGTACTCCAAGACACGACCCAGGGTAAAGGGAACTGTATAAATTCAAGTTGTTCTTGTTTTTTTACGATGTTCAACCTATTCTTGACTTTCACTCAGCTTTCCTCTTGTGACAATGTCGATATTTTGGGTTTGCAAATACTACTTAACCACATTTTAAGACTCTCATGTATCATGACTTTATTCTACAATGATGCAAGACAACAGACAGGATTATTTAATTCAATCAAATGTCTTTACTACTTTTCACTATTATGTTTCTCTGCTACTGCAATATACCAGCAACTTTAGTCTCAATAGTGTATCTGTAAGAAACCCAAGTCTCAGAAGTCAGCAAATAAATCTAAACAACATTTCTGTTTGAAAATGATTTACTAAAGAACTAGAGCGTAACCATTTAAAATACAAACATTGACCGTGATCAAAAACAATTACGTAATGTCGTAAAAAGATGAAGTCTTTCACGTCCTCCTGACGTGAAAGGCGCTCTATAAATGGAATCTTGTTGTTGTATCTTGTTGTTGAAGTGAAAAATTAAGAGCAATGATCAAGTCGTTCATAGCTCCCTCAGAACAAGATTAGATTATATTTCACTTTGTCCTTGGAATCACTTCCTGGTTAGTTAGAAAATAAACATAGTTTGCTACTATTTTTATAAAACTTGGATAATTTTTATACAGAAATCACTACACACACCAAATGTCAGCGTTGTGCCTTTTTCTTAATCCATAATGACAGTCACACAAGAGGATTAACTATTTAATGTTGTTACCCCAGGTTTAGGGGGAAAATAGTCAGTCGTTAATTACCAGGAAATTACATGTACAGCACTTATTATCGATCTGATATCTTACACCACGTGTATCACAACACTTCACTTATTCCATTAACACATCCTTCGGGGCAGCGCAAAACATTCAGATTTGCTGCTCAGATGAGGAGGCAGTTTCAGGTAGCCAGGTATTTACAGTAGCACTGTTACAGCTGGAACAGCAGGCATTAATAAATATGAATTGTTCCTGGAGACAGCCCTGATTGACCCCTGCTGACACTGGTTCAGCAAGCTGAGCACAAGACATACCCTACCAGTAAGCTCCAACTTCAGACAAGTTTGAATTTTCAGTTCTAGGCCTCTCAGGCATGCACTGACAAACTTGCGACATAAAAAGTTCACCTGAACCTCTGATGGATTCCTGACTTGCACACAGAGATGTGATCTCAACCATATTCTCAGTTAGGCAGGTTTTACACAAAACATTACTAACAGATAAAGGTAAACACTGTACCTGAACTGCTGGCCTTGAGATGCGTTACTTCAACATACACTTCAAATACCTTCTCTGGATTTTCCCTACAGTTAAGAAAAAGACTGTTACCATTAAAAAAAAGTCTTTAAAATAGCAACTTTCAGGGTAACATTACCCAAATTTGATTCTCTTATTACACGGTATTTAAATCTCCCCCCAACACACACAAAACTGAAATATAAAACATCCCCTTTCAATTATACTGCTTAAAAGCTTTTTGGATAGTTTCCATTCATGAGTGTTATATAACAGGCTTCAAATTTTGATGTGTTTGGCAGTAACCTTAAACAGAAGCTACTAACAGAACCAGAGAGCAGGGCTTTCAGCATTAAACAAGAACCGACTCATTTTAAGACCCGACCGAGCAGCAATTTAACTCGGCTTTTCAGAGAGGTTTGTAGGAGTTATTGACAGTCAAATGAGGGAATTCAGAGCTTTAAATACACCGAAATTTCCAAGCCCCTTTTGAAGAAAGCAATGTCCTTATTGAAAACTGACATGAATCATTTTCAATCACTTTAATCTCTCAAAATCTGACTCAGACGGAAAGTCATAAAAATAAGGTACAAGTTTTGTTAAATTAACAAGCAGAGTGTACAACATTAAAATGGTGTTGGTGCCGCTCCTGTGGTCTGGCAGCAGTTGAAATAAAAACATGTTTCCCCAGTTCTTCAGGAGTCATACGGTACTAATCTATCCAATATCTGTCAATGTATATTACTATTCAGATGCTTCACAGCAGCAGTACCAATCATGGACAAATTTTAGGGGAAAAACAATTAATAGTAATATAATAATTCTTGTACATGATATAACACCTATACTGCTGAAATTTCACAAATGCTCCACAAAGAATTGCTATCAAATGACTATATATTTACATGCAAACACGCAGTGCAAGTTCCCACAAACAGCCATCAGAGACATTTTTAAGGTGTCTTCTGATAGAAAAGATTTTATCAGATATGATTCGTTACTTCAGTAAAATAGCCTACTGACACTCAATTTCTAAGCTCACACAACAAAATTGCAACTTGGGCAAAGCATCAAATTGCTTGCCAACACCTGTGGAATCATTCTCATACACATCAGAGTTGTCAGAAAAACAAAAAAGGTTAAGAAGCAAAAAGGTGTTATTTCACAATATAAAATTCAATATTTTTAAACTGCATGGAATTGGGTTTTTAGACGACTTTCAATTCCTACGACTATACTCACAGATTGAAATATTACACCAACACATACAATATACTGCATTTCTTAATATCACAATGTTTTTTTTAAAAAATCCATCACAAAACTATAGGTCGGTGATGATAATTAATCTCCTAGCAATTTCCTGCGCCATCGGATACAGGAAAAGAGTAAAAACGCATGGAGTCCTGCAGCTCAGTGGTTAGAGCACTCGCTTCACAAGCGAGAGACCTGGGTTCGATTCCCGGCAGGGTGAAACCTTGGGCAAGTTTCCTTACTCCACACGCCTGATAATAATCCCTCAAGAAAAAACAATAATAAATTGGTCACTTCAATCCACGACTCTTTGTGGTACCCTGCTGTGCGCAATTGGCTGCCGCGTTTCACCCACAAAACACAGTCAATTCACTTTACAGTCTATTTTGTTAAGCGTTTTGAGACGTCTAGAAGACGTAAAAAGCGATATATCAAATACAAGGATTATTATAATATTATTATAGAACAAGTCACGCAGGACTATTTCTGAGCAACTGTTTTTTATACATCAGAATTCGGCAAGGCCCAACACTGGGTCACCAATCCATCATCACGTTGTGAATGGCGTGGACAGAACAAAGAGGGAGGTGGAGATTTACATTAAAAAAGATTCACATCTCAGTTTGAGTCAGATCCATATAGAGGGCTGTTAGTTCCATTATCTCCTGTACTTGCAATTACTTTCTCAACCTTCTAGCACTGTATTTAAAAATAAGAAAATCCAGCATCAATCTTTTGGTTAGGACAATGCTCATGCCTTTCCAGATGGTAGCGGTGGGTGATTTTGAAGCAATCCTAGCAGGTAATAAGCCTCACATAAAGCCAATAAATTACCATGGCAAACCTGGCCTGGCTCCCAGCTTCTCAACATTTACCCAATCTATCAGTGAGGTAGATAGAGAAACCACTAATGCTGGAATCCCACCTTCACAAACAGGATGCTGGAACTTGCAGGTACAGTTAAATGAAAGTAAATTTAATTCACTAGTGATAAACAATAATAATGCATTTAATATAGCACTTTAATAGGTCATTGATATGTCACAAAGCACTTCATAAGATTTTTACAGTGAAGTGCAGTTGTAGGCAAGCGTGGATGTCAATTCAATGTCCCACAAACAGCCATGAAGTGAAATGAACAATTTTATCTGGAGGATTGTTGGCCAGGAAACTAGCAGAAACTCTTTTAGTTAATAAATGTGATTGTTGTCCCATTGAAATATGATGCTATGTTACTCCTGTTAAGTAATTTTTCAATGCTAGCCCATCCTAGTGAAGGCAGATTAAAATCTTTCAGCACCTGGTATCTTTCCCATTTTCACATGCCAACTTCTGAGCATTGTATTTAATAAAAATCGTGTTTACAATTCACCAGCAAAAATCCAAAACGTCCCCTTAAAATACACCGATGTTTAATTCTGGACCCTGAGCAATCCTAGTGTGGTCATGTGTAGAGGGTAACTCTATCTATGTTCAACACTATGCTATTATAATAATGTAATGTGAGGACAGCTTTAAACAGTCTGGCTCTTTCTCCCGAGTGCAGATTTCCAAAGGTCATTTGATGAGAGCACAAGTCATTACCGGAGAATCTTCCAGGACGAAAATAACTTTGTGGATAGCCACAGCGGGGAGTAACGGACACCTTCTTAAAGTGTCCTTCAAAGGCATGGAAAGGAATCAAGTGTAAACAGGGTCACGGTGAGAGTTCACTCATCAAAGTGAGAGTTCAACAGGTCAGGTTTTACCCTTTTGACACTTCTGGTGCTGTCATCCTTGACATTTAGGCAGCAGCTTCCCTCACACACACCAACTCCCAGTCAAATGTAATAGTAACAGACAGCAGCACCCAGGATATCCACGGAGCAGGGAGGGCAGGGCAGGGAGGGCAGGGCAGGGGCCTTTGTACCTCAAGGTGATTGACTGGCGAGGCTGCCCCTCACCCTCACTGTGTGAGTTACACTGAGCCTGACCCTGGCACGGGTGCCTGCCTGCCTGCCCTGCCCTGCCTGCCTGCCCTGCCTGCTGCTCACACTGACCCACATACAGCAAGGCATTAGTCATGTGTGTGTTTACCAAACTTCAATGAAGGATTGCTGAAGCCCGACTCGCTGCTCTCTCTCTCTCTATATATATAAGGGCCTGAGTCAGGTTTAGAGGGAACAAAGTGAAGGAAGGAGGCAGAGGACACTCTGACATGCTTTGGTAGTGGGGGGGGGGGTTGGAGGAGGCCGGTGATTAGGGGGAGGGGGGAGCTGGGGCGCCGAACAGGCGAGCCCGTGGTCTGCGGCCTAGTGCGCCAGCCAGCTGGCCTCAGGCGGCCTCGGGTGGCAGCCCCGCCAGCGGCTGAGGAGGAAAGCCGGCGTTTATGAGGAACGCCACCCGCCATAAGGAGGAGGGGGTGAGCCCGGCAAACCTACCTGAGTCTGGAGCCCATGGCGGCGGCAGCAGCGGCCGCTCGCTCCTCAGGGCAGCCTGGCAACGCCTCGCTCCCCGCCCGCCCGCCCGCTCAGCACGCCGGGAAATGGCGTTCCCTCCCGCCAGCCAACCCGACTACATCTCCCAGCGAGCACCGCGGCCACCTGCACAGCCAATAACATTACACACTTGTACACAGAGAGTACAATAACAAACAATTGTCATTATATAACAATCCCATACAAATAATATAACAACAAACAATTGTCATTATATAACAATCCCATACAAATAATATAACAACAAACAATTGTCATTATTTAATAATACATTAGAATACATTGGAATATACAGCACAGAAACCGGCCATTCGGCCCAGCTGGTCTATGGTGGTGTTTATGCTCCACATGATCTCCTGCCCTTCCTCAACTAACCCTTCAGGCGTAACCTTCTATTCCTCTCTCCCTCATGTACCTCTGTAGCTTTCCCTTAAATACATCTATGCTATTTGCCTCAACAACTCCTGGTGGTAGCATGTTCCACATTCCCACTACTCTCTGTGTGAAGAATTTTTTTTAACATCCCTATTTGATCTATTTGTGACTATTGATGGTCATACAAATAATATAACAACAAACAATTGTCATTACATAATATGATACAAAATGACATTTTGACAGCGTGAGGAGAGAACTGAGAAAGGAAGTGAGAGAGGGAATACGGTGCAGAGAGTGAAAGAGGTGCATAATTATAAAATACATAATATTTACATTAAAATAATACAAAACACGTCTGGAAGACCGGTTGCATGCACAATGTGTGCCATATGGAAACTCCAGGATACTTTGTGAGCCCTGGACAGACACGCGTGTAGGAAGTGCTTCCGGTTGCTAACATCCATCTGCCAAGGAGAGGCTGGAGCCACTACATAGCATACAGGAGGCTGAAGAGTTCATGAATCAAACATTTCAGGAGGTGGTCACGCCACAACCACGAAGGGTTCAGAAGGAGAGTGAGTGGGTGACCACCCTGCATGGTAGGAAGAAGGGACGGGAGATGCAGAAATCCCGAGAGTGTGGCACTTACAAACCGGTTCTCTGCACTGAATACCGGTCAGGGTGATGATACCTCTGGCGAGAGGAGTCAAAAGCAAATGGATGCACAGGGAATATCAATGCAGTTGTCATTTGGGGACACAATGGTGAAAGGAGTAGACGGGCGTTTCTGCCACCAAAAACATGATTCTCACATGGTATGTTGCCTCCCTGGTGCCAGGGTTGAAGACATCATGGAACGTGTGCAAAACATTCTACAGGGGGAAGGGGAATATCCAGAAGTCATAGTCCATGTTGGGATCCATGACATAGGGAAAAAAAGGCTGAGATCCTACAGAGAGAGTATCTGAAGCTAGGAAAAAGCTAAAGAGTAGGACCTCAAAGGTTTCTGGATTCCTCCCAGTGCCTCGTGCAAGTGAGGATCAAAACAACAATAATAATAATAATAATCCTTGCATTTGATATAGTGCTTTTCACATCTTCTGGACGTCTCAAAGCGCTTCACAGAATATGCTGTAAAGTGAATTGAACATATATTTGTGGGCAAAACGCGGCAGCCAATTGCGCACAGCACAGCAGGATCAAACAGATGAATGCATGACTGGAGAAATGGTGCAGAAAGGAGGGCTTCAGGTTCCTCAACTGGAAGAGGCTAAGTTCAGTGAGTTAAATAGGGACCTGGCCAAGGTGGACTGGAAAGAATGATTGGCAGGTAAAACAGCTAACGAGCAATGGGAATACTTCAAGGAGGAGATAGTTTGGGTACATTCCCATGAATGGGAAAGGTAAGGCATCCAAACCTCCCTGGATGAATAAGGAAATTGGGATTAAAATAAAACAGAAAAAGGAGGTTTATGATAAATTTCAGGTCCAAATACAGAAGATAATCAAATAGAATATAGAAAGTACAGAGGAGAACTGAAAAAGGAAATAAGAGGGGCAAAGAGATTCTATGAGAAAAGATTAGCGGGTAACATAAAAGGGAACCTTAAGGTATTTTATAAGCATATCAAGAATAAAAGGTTAGTAGGGTGGGTCCAATTAGGGACCAAAGAGGAAATCGTCTTGTAGAGGCAGAGGGCACGGCTGATGTACTGAATGAGTACTTTGCATCTGTCTTCACAAAAAAAGAGGATGCAGCCAATGCCATAGTATCGGAGGAGAGGGTAGAGAAATTGAATAAGGATAAACCGAGAGGAGGTACTAAAAAGATTATCTTGTGCTCAAGGTAGATAAGTCACCCGGTCCAGACAGGATGCATCCTAGGTTACTGAGGGAAATAAGGGTGGAAATAATGGAGGCTCTGGCCACAATCTTTTCAATCCTCCTTGGATACCGGGGTGGTGCCAGAGGACTGGAGGGTTGCAGATGTTACTGCAGATGTACAAAAAGGAGTAAAATAAACCCGGGCACTACAGACCAGTCAGCCTAACGTCAGTAGTGGGAAAACTTCTAGAGACTATAATCCAGGACAAAATTAATTTTTACTTATAATATGGGTTAATAAAGGACAGCCAACATGGGTTTGTTAAAGGCAATTTGTGGCTAACAAACCTAATAGAGTTTTTTGATGAAGTAACAGAGAGGGTGGATGAAGGTTGTGCAGTTGATGTAGTTTATATGGATTTTCAAAAGGTGTTTGATGAAGTGCCACATAAGAGACAGAAGCCCACGGTATTAAAGGTAAGTGGCAGCATGGAACAGTTATTTTTCTGACTGGAGGGAAGTGTGCAGTGGTGTCCCCCCGGGGTCGGTATTGCGACTACTGCTGTTTTTGATCTAAATAAATGACCTGGACTTGGGTATAGGGAGTACCATTTCCAAGTTTGCAGATGATACTAAGCTGGAAAAGTAGTGAACAGTGAGGAGGATAGTAACAGACTGTGAATGGACATAGACAGACTGGTAACACGGGCAGACACGGGGCAGATGAAGTTTAATGTGGAGAAATGCAAAGTGATGCATTTGGGGATAAGAATGAGGAGAGGCAATATACGCTGATGGTACAATCTTAAAGGGGGTGAAGGGACAGAGAGACCTGGGGGTCATATAGTAAATCTTTGAAGGTGGCCGGACAGGCAGATACAGCTGTTAAAAAAGCATATGGGATACAAGGCTTTATAAATAGGGGCAAAGAATACAAAAGTCAGGAAGTTCTGATGAACCTTTATATAAAACACTGGTTAGGCCTCAGCTACAGACTGTTCAGTTCTGGGCACTACACTTTAGGAAGGATATCAAGGCATTGGAGAGGGTGTAAAGGAGATTGACCAGAATGGTACCAGGAATGAGGGCCTTCAGTTATCGGGAGAGGTAGAGAAGCGAGGGGTATCCTCCTTGGAGCAGAGAAGGTTAAGAGGAAACTTAATAGAAGTTTTCAAAATGATGAGGGGATTCAATAGAGGGAACAAGGGGAAACTATTCCCACTGGCGGGTGGGTCTATAACCCGAGGACACCGATTTAAAATAGTTGTTAAAAGAAACAGAGGGGAGGTGAGGAGAAATGTTTTCACACAGCGAGTTGTTGGGATCTGGAATGCATTGCCTGAAAGGCTGGTGGAAGCCAATTCGATAACAACTTTTAAGAAAGAAGTAGAAGTAGAGAAGTAGAAGTAGATTATTTGGGGAGACAGTGGGGGAGCGGGACTTTTTTGGATAGATCTTTTCAAAGAGCCGGCACAGACACGATGGGCCGAATGGCCTCCTCTGTGCTGTATAGTTCTATGATTCTATGATTTGCACTGTGCCTTTCATGTCAGTAGAACGTCCCAAGATGCTGGACAGTCAGAGATTTGGACCTGAGCTGGGGGTTTGGGATCAGCAGGGTATAGGGGTAGGAGGGTGACTGAAGGCATGGTTGAAGAGGAGAGTCTTGAGACGTGCCTTGGCAGAGGTGAAGGGAATGTGGGATTGAGTTCCAAAGGGTGGGGGCAGAGAGGCTGAAGGCCCAACTGCCAATGGTGGGGCAGGCGGGTGGGAGACTTGGAGCAGACAAGAGCCCACTGAGTGGAGGGAGCGGACAGGTTGATATGGGGTCAACAGGTCACAGAGATAGGAAGGAACAAGGCCGTGGAGAGCCTTGAAGGTGAGAGTGAGGATTTTGAACTGTATCCTCTGGGTGATGGGGAGCCAGTGGAGCCGGGTGAGGATGGGGGTGATAGGGATGGGGGTGATAGGTCACGGAACCTGGTGTCGGAAAGTTCTGGATGATCTGCAGCTTGTGGAAGGAAGTGTTGGGAAAGCTGACAAGCAGAGTGTTGCCGTTGTCGTGCCTAGCAATATTAATAATTTATGTAATAATACAAATAATATAATAACAAATAATGGTCATATAATAATACAATACAAATAATATAATTTAATCATAAATAAATAAATAAATAAATAAATAAATAAATGGTCATTAAAATATATATTTGTCATAATGCAATAGTACAATACAATGATAAATAATTGTCAAATGCAAAGATGGTTATTATAATACAATCCAAATGATTTTGTGTAATGCATCTTACTTCAATCTATTGTTGTAACTTAACTCATTTTCACTTGATAGGCTTGGCTCTATTTAAACCAGAATATTGTACATTTACAAACTGATTAAAAGTTCAGCCTTCCAGGAAATGCAGTGGTATACGGAACTCACATCCACAACCCAAGATACATTGTTTCTCAACGACAATAATCTGCAAATAATGTGTTCAAACTGTGCAAAACACCACAATGCTGAACCAGCAGAATCTCAGTGTCCTGTAACAGTGGATCAGATGCCATTCAGAACCTCACCACAAGTCACTGTTATTCAAGCATGAACCCTGGCAAGTGTGTATTGGAAGGGAAAGTGAATGCAGGTGACATAACCTGTTCCTATGTCCCTACTCCAGTTCCCATTTAGCTTTCTCTACTCTCTTCTGAAAGTGCCCACGTTTTACTTAAGTTCTACTGGGGCGAGGGTTCCATAAGCGCTGCTCATCTCTACTTAGCGGCTGCTAGTTGTGTGAACCCCAGCAGTGAGTGAGTGAGT